GGTGACCGTCTTCCTCACTGACTATCTGAAATATAGTGTGTAAAATTTATGAGATGGATGCTAATGTTGGCAATAAATTAATAGGAAGTTAACAGCGATTAATTTCTTATGGTGTAGTGGGATAGGAGAGACTGACGTCTTGTTATATGGGTGAGCCAAGCCCCAAGTCCTACCTATCTGGAGTATGGCTTGAAGCTGACACTGGGAAAAAACCAGCACAGACCTGCATAGCTGGTTACCAGCATGACCAACATAATACATCCTGGTTATACCAGTATATGTTGTGTTTTGGTGCTGGTGAACAGCAGCTACGCCAGCACCAAACCAGCATAGACCGGCTTGGAAGGCATGCTGGTAAATGCTGTTTTTCTCAGCTGGAAGTATACCTTTATACTGTTTCAAAAATAGTTTTTTCTCTTGTAACAAGAGCTGTAAGATATTTTCTTACCAAGCTCTGAAGTTACATCAGTCCGTTGTGTAATGTAGATGACGGTAGCGTGTAATCTTTTGAGCTCTATCTAGTGTTAGAAAAAGAGTACAGAGAATTTTTAATAAGTAGCTGCTTTTTACTGGGGAAAACAGACCACAGAAAAATATAGTTCTAGGGTTTTATGAACATTTTATAGCCCAGAGGACCAGGAACAGAGCCCAGACAAGAACTAGCCAGCAAATACTAGGTTGACTGACTAACACAATTGTGTCTCCACAGCAGGGTTATGTTCCGCTGTGAGTCATTGCTATCAATCAGCAATATGCCTCAGCCTTACCCTACCACACCTGATGAAAAGCCTTCTTTTCATGTCATGTATAGACTAGTGTTTCTCAACTCAGTACTCCTGAACCCGCAGACAGTCCATGTTTTTGCTTCCTTCCAGCTCCCTAAAAACATGGACTGTCTGGCAGGAAGCTGAGAGGGAGCAAAAACATGGACTGTCTGGCAGGGAGCTGGGTGGGAGCAAAAACATGGACTGTCTGCGGGTCCCCAAGGACCGGGTTGTGAAACACTGGCATAAACCCACAATTATTCTTCCTGGGCAATACTAAATATAATTGTGTGCCAAAAGGGATGTGTTTGTTGCAGTTCTGTTTATGCATAGTTTTATGTATCATTTATGATAGAGAATAGCCTACTAACTAAATTTAAATTATACTGAGCATTTTTTATCCAGAATCGGAACTAGTTTTCAATCACTGTAATTATGAAATAAAGAAAACTTTTAATTGAATTGAATCAGATCGACAGGAAGTGTTTGTTTTCTGTATGTGACCAATCGATCTTTACGCAGTTATTCTCTGACGTTTTGTAAGTAGGATCTTGCTGTACTATAAATTTTAAATTACTTTTAAAAAGCCTTTTTTGTGAGCCTTCTCCTGTGCCACCCCGTTCGGCCCCATTATGTCACAAAGCTTTAATTAATGCCTTTCTCTCTGGTTGTAACAGGCCTCATTAGTCTATTAGCCAAAAAGGGTACCAAGATTACAAAGCAACAGTTTGTCCTCCATTAATGATTCCAAGTTTTACTTTATCTGCAATTACTTTACATGTGTTTATCTGAAAGACACTTTGAATTAAATGTTATATCTTTTGTATCTTTTTGTGTCTTTGCATTTTTCTGTAGCACTCGATCATATTCCATGCAAGTGTGTGTACAGTAGGCAAATTAAACCACCAGGTTTCTCTTTTTAAAATTTGCTTTACCTAGGCAATATATGGCCTCATAGAACTATTCAGCTAAAGGAAGAATATCATTAACATGTTCCTTGATTGTAGATTAGTGGGGCAGATTATTCAAGAAGTTGCTCAGAGTCAGCTCTGGTTTTGCTGGTTTTCATTCTGTGGATGTGTTTCTGTGACACATCCTGAATGCGGCACATCCTGAATGCGGCACATCCTGAATGCAGTGCAATGCAGAGCCCATCATGCCACTGGGCCAAGTCCATTCTGCATTTCTGTTCTTCATAAAGTCCCACATTTCGAAAAGTACTTTGTGCCTAAATGATGTCAATAATTCATGATCACAGGCTGCCAATTCTCTCCTTAGCAGACACCTTCAACTTCCACAATAGCAACACTCCCAATATGACGTTTTACCCCAAACGGGCCTCCAATCAAAAATGTGGACTGAATTATTAATGGCTGTGCTGCAGATCGACAAACTACACCACCCCACTGAGAATGCAGCAATTAAGTGTCCTTTTGAATTACTTCTGCAGTTTCTGGATGTGAATTTATGCATACTATTATTCATTACTTTTTATAAAGTACTTCTGGTAGGCTAACACAAAAACATACATTTCCTAGCATTTTGATTAACTTTCTTTGTTCCAGTATAGAAATTATTTGTCCATTTTCTGTAACTGATCCAATACAGTAAGTCTGCACCCTGACTCAGGCAGCACAAGGCAAGGGACACCCTGGGTAGGATGCTCAACCATTGCAAGGCAATGGTCTCTTGGTCTGCAAGGCAGACACTCACTCACTGTGCGAAACGTAGGCAGACCAGTTCACCTTGCTGCATTTTTCGGACTGCTGGGGAGAATTCCCAGAAGAAACCCCCACAGAGGGATATCACACAAACTCCACACAAGGAGTGTGATCCAAACCCACGAACCTGGAGGCGTTAGGCCGTAGGGCTACCCGCTAAGGCACCATAGCACCAATGTTGGAATCAGAATAGCAAAATTGTTTCTGTCTTTCTTGGTTATCTCTGAAATAACTCAAAGAAAGAGATATGAAAGATATGAATTCAATTAAACAGTGAGTGGGAGTCCTGATGACTCCTCAGTTGACATCCACTTGTTTCCTCCGAGCCACGACAGTAATGAACAGCGTGTTGAAAAGATTGCTGCTATATCTGTAATGCCATCTATTTCTGTCTGTGTGCCTGTGGGCGACTATGACTGGTACAATGGCGTAGAGCGTGGTGCCGTGACTATTCCCAACTGGGAGCCACGTTTCCCGTGTATGAAGTCCCATCCGTCCCTGCCCACTGCTTCACAGCTGTCAACTACATGCGTTTGTCTATATGTCGTCTCTGCAGTTTACAGTCATCTTGATCAGTCTTGGCCCTTTTTTTCTAGTGATTTTCCTTCCTAGTGGATGAGCACGATCCAACATATTACGTTCAAGGAGCACATTGGAATGTTATTTGCTAATAACAGTAACATTCTGTCTCATTTATTTATTTGTCTGTTGTCCTTTGTCCAGCTGGTAGGTCCAGCTTTGCGGAGTCCAAGTGAAATTTCCTTGTGGGGACAATAAAATGTGTGTGTGTGTGTGTGTGTGTGTTTGTATCTATATATATCATGAATTATTGACATCAATTAGACACAAAGTACTTTTCAAGATGCCTTATACCAGGGGTGAACAGTCTTATCTTCAAAGGGTTAGTGTGCAAGCAAGTTTTTAGGATAACCTTTTTCCAGCTGTTTAAACCCAGATGTCAGGAAACCCTCTAATTAGTAATCTAATTAAGGAGTTGCAGCGAAAAGCCATAAACACAATGGCCCTTTCTGGATGTGGTTGCCTGGCCCTGCTTTATAGTTTTAGTAGGTCACTTTCACTATTTAGTCACTAATAGGATGAAGTGATTCTCTCTTTGGCTCTTGGATACCACTTGATGTATAATTTTTACCCAGTCTCTCTTTTCAGATCCGGTCTGTTGCATTTTTCATCAATTTTTCACCATGAAATCCTGCTTCCACATCATATCAAGTTGCCATCTTTTCCCATATTTTTTGAGTGATCACCGTCATTCAATAGTTTTTCCAAAAGCCCCGGTGTACTGTTACACTTTGTACCTGTAAGGATATGTCTTCAATCTTAATTGAAAACAACCAGTTTCAATTTTGCAGTAGGCTAACTGTATTTGTTCTTTTAAAAAGAGATCTCATTCATGTGTGAATTCTCAGTTATTGTTACAGTGAGGAGTGGGTACAGAAAATGCCACATCCACAGCATGTCCTGTCTGCTGGGATCATTATTAATTTCATCAACATGCATGCCCAAGATTTTTAATTCTATTATTTTTTTATTATTTAGGCTGAACTGAGGGATGCACTATATTTACTCCTTGCCTACTCCTCCTCCTGATCCCAGACTCATCCCAAACGTTCCAGTAGGCCTACATAATTTTATGTAAAATGTCAACTTCGTTACACTGCACTTTCGATGAATTCCTTGGGACGTGAATCGCCTTTACATTCTTTAAACCTCACCCCAGAAGTTCCAGTTCTTATTTTTATGTAAAATGTCAACTTTCTTGCACTGTTCTTCATATTAATTCCTTGGGACGTGAATCACATTAAAACACAGATGTTGAATAAAGATTTCTGCTCTAAATGACTGCTGCAACAAAATCTATGAGCCTCTCACTAGTAAGAGGAAGTATGAGAATGCATTTTGTATAGCTACACTCAGCGCAGCCCAGACTACAGGTCATGAACATCTGGGGGAAATTCCCAGATGATTAAAAAATGTGGTTATGCAAGAGGCTTTTTCAAGATATGGGGACAAAACTGTCAAAATAATTAAGATGAAAGACAGTTGTGAGAGGGATGTTTAATACAGAACTCAAAATTTGGTTATTATGAAAGAGAATTAAGCAGAAGGGGAAAGGGAATGACATTTTGTTCGTGGTGTTTATCTAGACGTAACATAAACAAAATATTTGAAAGCCTACCAGTTTTTTCCAAATCCACAAAGCAATATTCTTATATAACCGTGTTTACAGGTTGTTAAAAAAAATTATTAGGTAATGACAATGAAGCATACGAGGGAAATTAACAATCGCTCAAATGCTTCATTATGCTCCATAGGTAAGTTACGTTATAATGCACAGATCCAGAACCAGATAACGCAGCAGCAGAGTATATCACACGAAATCTGAAACAGATCCAAGGTCAGTCCTTAAACGCGGCCCTACACGTAATGCGCAAGGTTGGGCGTGGCTTCCATTGTACTCCTCGGGCGTGACTTTTGAGAGGTACTGATATTACGTAATTTCCGGTCAGGCTTTGACGAGACGACCAGCGGCGCAACGAATAGGCTTAGATTAGGAGGAGGAGGAGAAGGAGGCGAGGAGTAAATAGTGCGTCCCTCAGTTCAGAGTAACCAGGCTTACGTGCAGTTGTCTTATCCGAATAAAACCTTGATACAGTTTCCCCCCACGGAGCTTCAATTTTTTCGACAAATCGCGGGGACTGACCGTTTCGTTTCGTAGCTTTCGGTCGGCTTTGAACGATGCATTCCCTCTCAGTGATATCTGTCCTAATTTTGGGCATCGCCGTTCCAGCTTTAGCGGGCTACATTGAGGTAAGCATGTCGTCGCTTTGATTTATTAACGTCTGCTTTTAAAACATTGTCTGTGCGCGTTTTGCGCAGCCCGCTTGCCTTCGTTTAAAATAGGATGTAGGGACCATATAGAAAGAATCCACTATGAGATTCATTATATCGTAAGGTTATGATGTTCACCTGCGTGATTGACTAATAAGAAACCCGCCAATGTGCTTCAAAGGTCACTTTTTTAGCATTTATTTGTATGCAAAATACATGCACTTATGGAAAAGGTATAGTCTAAATGGTGGCTAAAAATTAACTGCTGATTAGTAGTCTGTGTTGTTGGTGTCATGGTGTCTGTCGGGCGTGCGAGGCTTTAAATAGGCAATAATCCCTTGACTAGTCGGGCTTTGATAAACGCGTTTTGCAAAGGTTTTTGCATGTCCTCAGCCAGTTGTGCATAATGTACATTGTTTTACTTAGACCGAATAATACCCATCGAAGAAGAGAATTGGATGACATATCAATCTGTGTTTGTTACTTACAAACGTCGTATGCAATGTGCCGGGTGGGCCGACACTGTATTGCGGTAATATAATTAACAACCCCGCCGCAGAGATCAAATGGAAGACGGCGGATCCGGCGCCTTATTGCTTATAATAGCTTGATGGCCATTGTAATGTGTTCGTTTGTAGTTGTTATATTATTGCCATAAAATACGTCACTGAAATGGTTATAGCAGTATGTAATACATTAGTCCGTAATATTGTCCCACGAAGACACACAGAACCGTCGCATATTTTGTTTTTCGTCAAGTATTTTCATCCTGCTTTAAGTATATGTATATGCGTGACTTATCTCATTTTTTTTAAACAATAGATTACTGAATTCATTCATATAAAACGACCGGTCCTTTAATATTTAGGTGGGTTAAAGAGTACTGACAAAGCGGTCTCCCCAGATTTGTATTTGTAATCTGGGGGTGTCCCACGCATAAGCGCATCTCATTATGTTGGGTGGGGGGACGGGTTAACATGCACGGACCTGGGCTCGTTTTATTGCTGCTTTTTGGTCACGGATAAAGATCTGGTACCACATCTGTTCCAGTAAACCGAAATCAATGAATCATTGAGGGCATCAAAATACTACAAGGTACGTTACTTTGAGCTATAATGGTCAACCATTTCTTAACAGTCTGAGAGGGCTGATTGGCGGGTATGCATTAGCTCTAAGTTAAGATCATTTACTTTAACTTCTTTATTAAAATGTGTGTCTGTTTATAGAAAGGAAGAAGCCAGGTAAGAAGTATGGGATACCCTGGGGTAAATATCAGTGCTGATCAGTATAGTGCAGCATCAGTTTAATTGTATCCAGTTATAATGACCGTCAAAATCCCAGCTTGGAATGAAGCCAGCCCTTCGACTAGCCAAATTTTATTGTCCTAATCTGGTGGCATACTGCGGCTATTTCTCTGTGATGGTGACTGACATTCCTCTTCCTAGAATTTGAATTTAATCTTGCAGGCTTATGTGCCAAGTATGCAAGTGTTAACTGCACCCTTTTTTTGGGGGGTGGGGGGGGGGGGTGAGAATTGCTCAGCTGTTAAAATCACGGGTCTCATTATGATCTTCCAGCAAAGGAGAGATATTCTTATATTCTTTGATTTGATGCTGTTCTTTTAAATGTTTTTTTTTTGTTTACAGCTTTCAGAGCTCCCCATACTTTACCCGCTATGCATTTTAGATCATAAGAAAAGTTCAATTGAACACATTCAGCATAATCAAATCATATAATACTTTTAGTGTTTCGTAAAACAAAATTTTATTTAAATTCTTAATAACCCCATTTATGCTTGACTTGCCTCCAAGGCTTAAACTTTACCTTGAATCTGTAATGTGTAGTAATTTTAAATACATTGTTAAATTAGTTAATGCATAATGTAACAGTGTCAAAGGTTTTTGTTCTAATTCTTGCTCACAAAACAGATATTTAAGAACCATGTTAGAAATATGTGCTTAAAATTGGAATTTGATTTGATTGTAGTATTTCTAGCTAAAGATGAGACTGGGATTTTCACTATGGGAGAAGTACTTTTAAACAGGGTTTAAAAATATTTTCACATGCATTCAGTTCAGCCTTATTCAGAATTGGTATATGCATAAATGAAGGCAAATGTATTAACCTGAACTTATTTAGTAGCTATGTGGTTGAATGTCATATTACAAGTGTGCCACAAAATGTTTTATTGATTTAAGGCTTAATTTTACTTGAATTTCATGAATTTTGACAAACACTTCAACACTCAACCCATCAGTAAAAAGGCATTAAATGGCTCTCAGTGGCTTATTGTAGACATTAGTCATTGTAGTCTTGCAATATCAAGCTATAACCGTAAGTACTGCTTGACTGATAAACTTTTCCCCCATGTTTTTTCCTCCTAACTGTAGCATTAACTGTGTTTTTTCCTCCAAGATTTGAGATTGGGTTGTTTTCATAGTCTCCTTAACCACTTCTTAAGAAATGTTTATCTGCAGTAGATAATGATGACAAGGAGAAATGGTTCTGGGTTACTTCCCTTTTACTGAAATATCAGTGATTTCTCTTAACATGAGTGAGGTCATGTGTTTGGGCCTGGTGATTTTCCCAAACCTTGAAATAAACAGAACTTCGCTGAATGCTGTGATGAATTTGTCGTGCAGTTTTTTTTTTTTTGGATTTTATTAAATATATTCTTGGTTCCATACTAAACTGTAGTAATATTTCACTTGCCTTTTTAGTTTTCTACTTTTTCATGTGAACTGATTTTGATGAGTGTTGAATGTAAAATAACCTTCTATCTTTCATTTGCAGATTAAAAACTAGTGCAATACATGTATAACTAATGGTTCTGCCTGCAATTTGAATATAAATATATTGAATAATTGTAAGCCTCTGATAAAATTCGTTGTAGTGATTCCAATAACGATTTGAAAGAATATTTTTGGCTTTGCAATAAGGGATTGAATTTGTAGCTAGTAGAAAATTTGGTGGTATGAGTTTTTGGTGTTTTGAACCCACAGTAGCGCAGTCACACCTCAGACTCGTGCGCGGAGCCTGGGGCAGCAATGAAACGTGACCTTGGAGGTGTGAAGCTATGATGCTCCCCACTGAGCCACCACAATAGGGATATGATCTTTAAATAAAAACAGAAAAAATGGTAATGGAAGAGGTGGGGGATTTCCGCACCACCACGTAGCTATAATATGGATTGATTCGTACCGATAAAGACGAACGTTGGCATTGTAGTCGTGCAGTCAAAGGTGTGAGTGAGCAGAGGCTGCTGTGCCGGCCTCGTTAGGAATGAGGACACAAAATGCTAACTACTGTATAGCTGTGCTTGATGAAATGCTTAATGATGCAAATAACGAATGATTGCAGTCAGACTTATCTAATGGTCATAGCATTTTTTTACGCTGAGATGTGACATTGCCTGTGATAGTAGAAATGTACCGTACGCACTGTTTGAAATGCTTTCACATTATCGGCTTCGAGGAGCATTTTAATACTAAGCGCTTTAACTTTCATTTGTTTTGCGGTAAATCCGCCACAAATCTCCTGAGTGATCTGTGGTCAGTTTAGATGGGTGGACTGAAAATGTCCTTAACGCCCCCCTCCCAACACATGGTGATACAAGGGGCTTGCTGCCAGGAAGCAGGGGGATTCTTATTTTTTTTGTTTATAGCTAACAATATCACCCGCAGTAAATTTTGATGCCCAGGCTTTCCAGTGTGGGTCTTCATAAAAACTTGACTGAGTTGTAGAATCCTATTTCTTGTCAAGCTCCCAAATAATTCTTCTTCACTCTGCCCCTTCCTGTAGCCACAATGCTGGTGTCCTGGTGATTTTAATTATCGGAATTTTATCTGACAGCTTCCCTTGAGTAACGTAATGATCTCTAGCTGTGCCGCTTTCGGTGTATACAGCATACAGTGTCATAGACTCTCTTTCAAGCTAGCTCAAACCACACCACACATGTGATAAAAATCCCCCCCCCCCCAAGAAGATTGTCAACAGGCTTAGAGAACATTTCCCATGACTAACAAACTCCTAAAGCATGATAGATTGCAATTGTGCAAGTCTGTTCATGGCGGGACTATTCTGAATATGTTTGTATCGGTATGCATATGCCTACCCCTACAGGAAACTTTCTCTCTGAACATTTGTAGTGCAAATCCTATCAAACGTTAGCTACATCAATGAAGATACTAAATTGAACTGTCGACCTGTACGCTGCGTTATATCGTTTGAAAATTGAGGATAAATGCATCGTAAAATAGGGACATAAATAATAGCAATGGCCTCATACTAGGTAATTTATGGTAGCGATGTAGGCTTCTGCTGGGGATCTCTTGCCATTGGTCCATCTTTGGAGGTTCATTTAATGAATCTGGCTCTGCTAACGCTTGCTTTCAATACACTTTAATTTCCCTGCTTGGGGAGTGGAGTGTTGTGGGCTCAGCTTGGGCCCTTTATTGTCATGAGCCAAAACACATGGCTTTGAGTTTTATTGGCTCATATTGAATATGCTGCTTATTACCTTTAACGGCCCTGGAATATATTTTTTCACACTTGAATTGAAGCACTAGCATTGATTAATATACAGTGGTACCTCGGTTCTCGAACTTAATCCGTTCCGGACTCCGGATCGAATCCTAAAAAGTTAGAGTTCTGATTAAATTTTTCCCCTAAGAAATAATGGAAAACCAATTAATTGGTTCCCGGCCACCCAAAATTACATCTAAATATTTTTTTTTTTTTTTTTAAGCATTTAAACACAAAATGAGCAGGATAAAACAAGAAGAGCATTTTTTTTCTTAATGGCTTCCAAAACTATAAAGATCTTATCCCAACATTACCCCTGTCCTGCCCCGATTGTCCGCTCCTTCCGTGTCCCACGCCCCCTCGTTAACCTTGTGTGGGATCCCCATGTGATCAGCTGTTTCTGGTTGTTGTCATTAGTCTTCTGTATTAAATCCGCGTTTCAGTTTGTTTCCCCA